GATGGTTTCGGGAAGACCCCCGCCCGCTGGAAATAGCCGTCGCGGGGTCCCAGGGCCCCTCATCGAGCCCCCACGGGCCCATTTTGGCCCTCGCAGGCCTCCTCGGCGGGGGCCCCCATGGGCATCCTCTCTTCTTACTCCTTGGAGGGCGTTTGGCTTTAAATTGGGCCCGCAAGAGGCCCCGAAGACGCCCAATATGGCCTCAAGACGGCCAAAGACGCCGCCAAACCGCCCCATGAGGGCCTCAAGAGGCTCCCCAAAAGGGCCCCAGAAGCCAAAAATCATAAATGTTCCGTTGGTTTTTGATTTGTGCATTCCCGCATGTTCCGCTTCCCCACGGAGATCGCTCCAAGACGGCCGAAAAGGCTCCCAAAAGGGCCCCGAGACGGCCCAGGAGGCTCCCCAACCAAGAGCGCCCCAAGAAGGCCCCAAGAGCGACTCAAGAGGGCCCCAAGAACGCGACATTTCAAGGTCTCTGGCGCGCGCGCGCCTTAGAGGCCCCCAGGAAGGCCCTGGAGGCCATCAAGAGGCTCCCAAGAAGCCCCGTGAGGCTCCCAAGAGGCCCCCGGAAGCCCCAACAGGCCCCGAAGGAGCCCCAAGGGAAGGCCCCAGCGGGCCTCCAAGACCCAGTAATTCAGGTTCCCAGAAAGCTTTCTGGGAACATGATTCCTTCGGCTTCCGCCCACCGCCCCAACCATGTTCCCAAACGGCCTGCCAGGAAGGCCTCCAGGGGCCCCCAGGTAAGCCCCCAGGTAAGCCCCCAGCCAACATATCATGTCCCCAGAAAGGTTTTTCCGGAATATGGTCGCCCCATCCATGTTCCTCAAATACCTGCCGGGAAGGCCCCAGTGGGTCCCCAGATACGCCCCCTGAGGCCCCCAAGACAGCCCAACAAATCATGTTCCCGGAAAGCTTCCCGGGAACATGATTTATCGAGTTGCCGCCCTCCGCCCAAATTATGTTCCCTCGCTTGCCAGGAAAACCCTCCGAGAGTCCCAAGCAGCGCTAGCTGCCGCCACGCTCGGAAAATGCGTGAGGCCCCGAAGCCCCTGGAGGCCCCCAAAGACACCCCAACAAATCATGTTTCCAGGAAGCCTCCCGGAAACATCATTCCTCAGGCTTCCGCCCCCGGCCCCAACCATGAGTCCCCAAATGCCTGCCGGGCAGCCCCCCAATGGGCCCTCATATACGCGCCCAGAGGCCCCCCAAGACAGCCCGACAAATCATGTTCCCAGAAAGCTTGCCGGGAGCATGATTCCTCAGGCTTCCGCTCCCCGCCCACACCATCTGTCCCCAAAATGCCTGCCAAGCAGGAACCGAATGGGCCCTCAGGTCTGTTCCTAGAGGCCCCACAATATAGCCTAACAAATCATGCTCCCAGCAAGCTTTCCCGGAACATGATTGCGCTAGCCGCCGCCCCCCGCCCAAATCATGATTCCTAAACGCCTACCAGGAACCACCCTCAGAGAGTCCCACGCACCGCTACCTGCCGCCACGCTCGGACACGCCTCTGCGGCGGCCCATGCGATGCTGATGCGGCTGCTGCTACTGCTGATGATGATGACGACGATGATGATGATGATGGTGAATATGATGGTGATGATGATGGTGATGATGATGGTGATGGTGTTGGTGATGGTGATGGTGATGGTGTTGATGATGCTGACGACGATGGCGACGACCACGATGATGATGAGGATGATGATGATGCTGATGATAATGATAGTGCTGATGATGATGATGATGATGATGATGATGATGATGAGGATGAGGATGATGATGATGATGATGATGATGATGATGATGATGATGATGATGATGATGATGGTGCTGCTGATGATGACGATAATGCTGATGCTGATGCTCATGCTGATTATGCTGCTGATGATGATGATCATGATGATGCTGATGATGATAACGACGACGACAATGACGATGACGATGACGATGACGATGACGACGATGAGGATGAGCCCCCCAGGAAGTCCCAGGAGGTCCCCAAGGGTCCCCCAAGGGAAGCCATCAGATGCCCCCCGAGACATCCCAACATCATTTCCCCAGAAAGCTTTTCGGGAACATGATTTCTTATGCTTCCACCCCCCAGACCACCGGGAGGACGAGGACGAAGACGAGGGCGAGGTCGAGGAACAGGAGGGCAAGGAGTAGGAGGATGAGGAGGAGGCGGAGGAGGAGGGGGCGACAGGCGCTGCCCGCCGCGCACGCCGCGGCGCTCCCCGAGGGAGACGGGCGGAGAGACGGAATCGGACGGGAGGGAGGAAGAGGGAGAGGAGGAGGGGGAGAGGAGGAGGAGGAGGAGGAGGAGGAGGAGGAGGAGGAGGAGGAGGAGGAGGAGAAGCAGGAGCAGGAGCAGGAGCAGGAACGGGAGGGTCAGGAGGAGCACGAGGAGGAGGAGAAGGAGGATGACGACGGATAGGAGGCGAATGCCCGGACGGGGACAATGGGTTGACATGGGGGGTCGGGCCCACCCCAGAGGCTCCGAGCGCGCCCGATCGGCTCCAGACGCCCTCCAGACCAACCCAAGACAGCCCAAGAATGCATTTGGGGCGCCCTGGGCAGGTTCCAATCCGCGCGAAGACGGCCCAAGGTTCCAGAAGCCTCCCCGACGCCCCGAGAGGACCCCCTAGGAAGGAGCTCGTGTTCGAGTGTTTTATATGTTGATGCGTTCTTGCTGCTCCTGGCTCCCAGCTGCCCTAGACAGGAAAAGAAGCCGTCAAGATCACCCCATGACGATTCAAGAAGCCCCCAAGAGAGCCCCAACACGGCCCAAACAACTTCGAGACGGACGGCTCAAGAGACCCCCAAGAGAGTACAAGACGGCCCCAGGAGACCCCCAAGATACGCCCCAAGGACGACGACACCGCCAGACAACCCCCAAAAGGCTCCCAAGAGGCCCCCCAGATCCCCCAGATGGTTCCCAAGGGCCCTCCGGTGCGTCCCATGGCGCTCTCAGGCGGCCCCGCGACCGCCTTGGACCCCGAGGCACCCCCCAGGAGGCTCCGCGCACCCGCGAGAAAAAGGCGGTGTACGCCTGGGATACATGTCCCACCGTATCCTGGGATGCTTGCGATGCCTGCGGACACTATTGTCGGAGTCGACTAGAACCTAAGCGCGCGAAGCGCGCGCGTGGTTCTGGTACGTGTGTATAGGTATTTATGTGTGCACTCATATATATGTAGTTTATGTACATGTGTGGATATTTGTTGATTATTACGTTACTATTACTCACATATGTATAATCTCACCACGACTACGACTTCTACTACTACGACGACGACGATTACTACTACTACTGTCACTATCACTCGTATGTGTAATATTCGTACTCTTATTCTTAATGATCTTATATTACAGTATCCAAAACAATTAAATCAAACGGTCACTATTTATTTTCATACACACATATTTCCAGAATATTCTCGAATAGATCATAATACTCAAGAAATATATACCGCTTATTCGTAATATTACATGACATATATGTGCTTTTCTTGCTTTTCTTGCTTTTCTTGTTTTGGCTTTTTCGGCGAGCCGAGCCTGATGAACGAAGGGAACCCGCCAGTCTATCGCGAAGAACGTCGTGCGCCGATCTCCGGGCGTCCCGGTGCCCTCTTGGGCCGTTTTGGAGGCCGTCTGATGGCCTCTTGGCCCGTCCCGTGGCCCGCCTGGCCCTGGAAGTGATGCGAAAACATGTCCCGCAGCCCAGGGGGCACGCGCCACGCGCGCCCCATGGGGGCATGCGGGAAATCCCGCCGAATGTCGGAATTCTCGACGCTTCGCGTATCCCCACCAGCACGTCCAGAAACGATACCCAGCTTTCAGAGTCTCCTCGGATGTCAGTGGGCAGCTTTTTGGAGGCCTCTTGGAGCGTCTTGGTGGCCTCTTGGCGGTCCTGGGGGGCGTCCAGGGTGCTTCGGGGGGCCTCTTGTGGCCTGTTGGGGGTCTCTTGAGAGCCTTTTGGGGGCCTTTTGGGCGCCTCTTGGGGCCTCCTGGGCGCCTCTTGGGGCCCTGTTGAAGCGTTCTTGGGAGCGCTCTTAGGGCCATCTTGAAGGAGATCGATCAAAGAAGGGGAGCACTTTAATTACGCCCCCTTCCCCACGGGAGATCCACAGATCGCCTCTAGGAACGCTCCTGGAACGCTCTTGGGGCGCTCTTTGGCGCTCTGGGGGCCCTCTTGGGACGCTTTTCGGCATGTCTTGGGGTCTTCCTGGGCAGTCTTGGAGCCATCTTGACACCTCGGAAGACCATTAAAAACAAAACGGCGAGATAGCGAAATTCATGAATTTGCCCGTCGGTTTTTGCAGGATGTTGGCCTTTTGGCGGCCTCCTGGGGAGGTTCCGTGGCTACTTGGAGCCATCTAGAGCGGTCTTGGGGCTTTTTGGGGCACCTTGGGAGCCGAGCCATATTGAACCATTTCGGGCTATCTTGGTCCGTCTTGGAAGTCATATTGAACTCTATGGGGTCCTCTTGGAGCCGTCTTGGGCCATCCCAGGTGCTCTGGCCGCTCGCGGGGCGCCCCGTCCAGGTCCAGGGGATGGGGTATGGGGAGGGGTAAACCCCTCCCGGAAGGGGAAGAGGGGGTTGGAAGAGGAGCCAACCTCCCTAGACCACCTACGCCCAGAGTGCTGGCGTGATTTTTGGCCCGCGGCCCCTTCAAGGATCCTCAGGAGTGGTAAGGACTGAGGCTTCGAGGATTGGACCCAGGACCTGAGGACACGCCCACTCCGTGCCCAGAGGCGCGATGGCGGACACATCCACACGTGAGGTTTCCGCGAATGTCTCGGATCGGCGCTGGACCCCTCCCCCAGCGCCCCCAGGCATCCGATGTCGTGACTTCTCCGCTACGGCCCTTTCCGCAGAGGTCTGGACCCCTTGACGTTTTTGTTCACGACGCGAGGATGTAGATGTCAGGCGCCGATCCCAGAAATTCGCGCGGACATCGGAAAAAGGTGCGTTTACATATTTATGTGTTCTTTTGCAGGTGAACGACCACCTCGGCGATGGCTTGCGCGAGCTGTACAGGAGGGGCGAGCTCACGGACGTCAGCCTGATGTGCGCGGAGCAGGCATTCAGCGCGCACAAGGTGGTCCTCGCCGCCAGCAGCGAGGTCTTCAAGGAGGGCCTCGCGAAGGTGAAGGAGCCGAAGAAGAAGAAGAAGAAAAAACCGTAGACGCATACAGCATACACTTTTTGGATCTCCTCGCGGATTTCCTGGATTGGCGCTGGAACCCCCTGGTGGCGCCTTCAGATTTCTCTCATCGGCGCCCGAAGCCCTCTGGCGGCGCCTCTGGCGCCGCCCTTGGGTCGCTCGCGCTCGCCAGGGAGTGTCAGCGCCGATGTTAGAGCTGCGCGCGGAGCTCCGCACATGTACGTTTATGCTTATGCGTCTTCTTCCGAGGAGGTCACCGGGAGCAAGAGAACCCCTAGCCCGATTAGCACGATGAAAACGTGGCGACCCTGAGGTCCCCGTTTTCGCACGACTGTAGGGATCATAGTTCTGGGCGGTTTGGTTTGGTGCATCTGCAGAAAGACCCCCTGATCGTTGGTGTCTTGGCCCTCCTAACTTGAGCCCTCTCAAAGGGTTAGGGGTCTTTCTTGTTGGTTCATCAGGAGGGCCTCCTGGCGGAGGGGGAGGGCGGCAGCGCCGGTAAGCGCGAGGTGCGCCTCGCGGACGTGTACAACCCGGAGGCCGTGAAGGTCATGCTGGATTACATCTACCAGGTCTGATGGGCCATGTTTCCACCACCGCTACCATAGGTAGGACGGTGGAGAAGGGAGGATGGAGAGGTCCTCCTCCTCCTCCTCCTCCTCCTCGTCCTTTTCCTCCTATTCCTCAACCTCCTCCTCCAGCCACTCCTCCTCCTCCTCCTCCTCCTCCTCCTCCTCCTCTTCTTGCTCCTCCTGCTCCTCCTCCTCCTTCTCCCTCTCCTATCCATTTTTAGTGGTGGTGGAAGATCGGCCCATCAAGGTCGAGGACTCGGAGTCTGGAAAATTTAACCCGAGGACGCAGGACATCAACAAGGACATTTTCGGTAGCAAATCACGGGATCCTCGTATACCCTTTTGATTCCGTCTTTCGTGGCGATTGACGTCGATTAGCGTCTGGGAGTCGATGAGATAGCGCCGGTTTCGCGTCGGTGAGCGCCGGTTAGTGCCGATTCAGCGTCGATTCGCGTCGATTTAGTGTCGTCTAGCGTCGATTCTTAAGAGCCGGCAATATGGTATGGGAGGCTCCCATGAGTTGCCACCGAAGACATACTCACGCTGGCGCAGAATTTTAGGCTGCCGGGCCTCACCGAGAGGGCCACGCACTGGCTCGCCAAGGACCTGCACACAGGCAACGTCGTCGAGCGGCTGACCATATGCGAGACGTTCGGCCTGGATGTCCTCCGCGAGAGGATCCTCGAGCAGCTCACGACGAACAAGAAGGCTCTCGCCGAGGTCGCCAGCAGTCCTCAGATCATGAAGTACCCGAAGCTCATGCAGGGCCTCCTTCAGCAGGCAGCGCAGCACACCGATGCACCCCAGCCTAACCCGAAGAAGAAGGCCAGGAAGACTTGAAGACCACCACGTGATCTTTCTGCAGCTCCTCCTGCTCCTCCTGCTCCGCGTCTCCTCCTCTTCCATGTTCTCCAAGTCTCGAAGACGAAGCTCACAAACTCCTGGGAGCTCCGCGTGGATTTCTCGGATCGGAGCTTGGGTCCCCCAGGCGGTGCCTCCTGCGCCATTGGCGCGCTCCGCACGCCAGGGAGGGGGGCCCAGCGCAGATGCACGAAATCCGCGTGGAGCTCCGAATGTTTATATTGGGGGGGTTTTACGACCGTTGCCGCCGACCCTGAAGGGGGTCGACGTCGACGGCGGCGTCGGCGGCGACTACGACGACGCTGACGGGGCAGAGTCCTCGGGGATGATTCGCGGGTCTTCGTCCGAGCGCGCTCGTAGGTCTCTGAGGGCCAGTTTGGGGGCATCTGGAGGGCATCTTGGGGACCTGTTGGGAGCCGCTTTGGGGGTCTCTTCGGGCGTCTCAGGGGCCTCGTGGGGCCACGCGGGAGCCTCTTCGCTTCTCGGGGCCGAGGGCTCGAAGTGTTTGTTCGGGATCCAGTGCGGGCACCCGATTGGATCCGTTTGGGGACCTCTCTAGGCCCGTCTGGGAGGCCAGGGCTGGACCTAAACGGTGTTTTATGGCGATTTCGTGGGCCGTTTTCGTTTCGACTTCGTTTTGCGGTAAAGGTGGATTCGAGACAAAAGCGAGGGACAACGAAACCAAAACGAAAACGAAAAACACCGTTTAGGTTCAGCCCTGTGGGAGGCCTCCAGGGCCGTCTCGGGGCCCTTTCGGGTCGTTCTGGGGCCGTGATGGAAAACTCGTGGGGGCCTCTGGTGCCGGCTTTGGTGGTACCTTGAGCCGTCTTGGGCCGTCGGGAAGCCGAAGACTCGAGAACGCCAGTATCCTTCAAATACCTGAGGACAACCATGACATGTTGCCTGTTCGGGCCCGCTTGGTATGCTCTTGGGGGCCTCTTCGAGCGTCTTGGCAGCCGCTTGGGCTGTGAGGAGGCCATCTCTGGCGTCTTGGACTGATCGTTCGGCGATCCGGGGCCCTCTCAGACTGTCTCGGAGGCGTATTGGGTTGTTGTGGCGCTTTGTTGGGCCCCAGGACCCCTGCGGGGAAACATGGACCCGGGGCCCTCGCCTCCACCCCTTCCCCTCCGTCCTCTCTGGGCTCCCCCTCCCCGAGGGGGAAGGGATCCAAGGAAAGAGGCATCCCTTCGAGTCAACTACGACGTTGCTAAAGTTCGGTTTGGTTACGCTTTTGCTGGCGCACTTGGGGTTTCGGTTCGGTCTCGTTGTGGCTGGCGCAATGGAGAAGGAGGACCCAGTGACTGCGCCGACGACGACGACGAAGACGACAGCATCTTCCACGCGCCGAAGTTCGAAGGAGTTCATTTGTTTGGTATTCCTCTGTCTCCGTTTCCTCCGTGTCCTCCAGGTCGTGTGGCGTGTGCAACACATGTCCACGCCCAAATGTGTCGCCCGATAACCGCCGGAGGAGGTCCGCGGTTATCTTGTGCAGCCAGGGGGCGTTGCGTAGGGTTTAGGCGTTGGCGAGCTCCGAGGGCCGCTTAGGGTGGGGAGCGCGCGCGCGAGAAGCTCAGAGGAAAAAAGAAAGTGGACGAAATCGTAATCCGGCTCGCGGGCGACACAGAAGGATGCAACGTTATTCTGCAGGGTCCATCGGGAACGAGAGGACGACGGATTTGGTCTCGGTTGCGAGGGCCAGAGATTGTAAACAGATCAGTGATCAAGACTTGCACGTCTGTAGCCTGAAGGGTTCCGTCAAACCACAAACCAGGTCACCAGGACCCCTCTTCCTTACTCCCTTCTTCTTCTTCCCTCCACCATTTCTCTTCCATCCATCTCTGCGCCATTTCCTCCTCATTCATCCGTTATCCTCTTTATCCGTTCCCCTCCCAGACCCTTTCCCCCCCATGATGACTCTTCCCCCTCCTCAGATAGACTCCCTGTCTGGAGAGGGGGGGCAAAAGAGGCGGGGGCACAAAAGGCAGAAAACGTTGGACGCATACGCACAGGAGAAAGGTTCAGATCCCAACCGGACGCGTGAGATCCCAACCGGACGGTTCAGATCCCAACCGTCAAGGACACGTGGGACGCGTGAGATCCCAACCGCTTTGGGGCCTCTGAAAAGCTCCAACCTCTGCAAGGTTCTGAGAGCCACTGCGAGCCTCTGAGAGATTCTGCGAGATTCTGAGAGATCCTGAGAGATTCTGAGAGATTCTGAGAAATTCTGCGAGAGTCTGAGAGATCCTGAGAGATTATGAGAGATCCTGGGAGATTCT